TCAAGACACTTAATATTCCTGGTGACAGAATGCAAAGCGCAAACATAAGGGAAAAGTTTCGTCCAATCAAACGATCGTTCAACGCATCTGCTTGAAATGGAAAGGAGCCAATAACTTCTCGATGGAATTCTATTCCAACGTATCACGAGATTGTGTCGCGCAAGGACGCAGTTTATTTTCAATCCTAAGATCTCTGGACCTCTCGTTCCAGCTGATCACATGTCTCCGCTCGTGAACAAATGGTGCGAAAGGGCACGGCCATTTTTGCACATTCTTACAACTCGATTCTTTAATGGATTAATTCGAACACCGGTGTAGGTTAAACTTTGTCTTAGAGCACCACTTTTAACTCTTTCTATATAATAATATTTCTATAATAGCACGCAGAAGATAGTACTTCTTTGATTTTATGGGTCTAGAAAATGAGATTGTCCAAAAAACATAAAATTTTATAATATACAAGGTGAAATACAGAGTAGTATTAGGGAAATTGTGGTACAAGATGATGCTTTTATACCCAAAGGTGTCGAATGAAAATATTATTGACAGACATGAACTTCTGCTATAGTAACTCAAAATATGTTATACTACTCCTACAATAAATAACACAAACTACATTGTATTTCTTCTACAATGATCATGTTGTTAGTAACCAAGAAGCTTTTCGAAAATCAGCAAAATCCACTAAAGTGTTTTGATAATTGCAAAATTATAAAAAGCCCAAACTCAGAAATACGAGCATCCAGAGAAATGTCATTTGATAAACTGGTTTGTAAGATACATCATAAGACACTGAATAGTATAAGTCTCGTGGTACGATCAGTTTGTATATAATATTCAAGTCCGGAGAATTTTTGTAGTAATATCTCGTATATTAACTGAAGCGAAAGGTTCCCAAACCATGTTGTACATAATTCATTAAAGAAATCATCATAAATTTGTACATTATTCTCAGAACTCCTGAGAACTTCACTACTGGACCTGCATACTGAAAGTATTTTGCATACGCCACAAAAACGATAGGAAAGTAGTATTAGTTTGTCCAGACACAGATTTATATGGTTTTCAACAGAAATATGCAATCGTTCATCATTCGGATTATGGTAGGAACGTCTGAAGTAGGGTTAAACGTTTCAGGGTACCATTTTTAATCGTTCTTGTATAATCTTCTATTATACCGTTCTCTAATATTATTGCCTTTATAGTATTCAATAAATATAGAAGAAATATGACACTCCAGAATGTTGAAATCTATTGGTCCAAAAGTCACATATTAAAGTTTGGTAGTTTTAAAGAACATAAGCTTAATAACTAGGGAATTTCATTACTTACAATTAGTAAAGCACATAGTGTCCTTGGTTCGCATCCATTAAAAATGCCAATGGGTCAATGTCATTTCGGCGAAAAATTGTTGCCATAAAAATTCGCACATTCGAAGCGTTAATTCAATGTTGCGAAAACAACCTCTTCCTCTGAGCCAGCCTTTTGCAGGGTACCATGATTCCATTTTTTGAGTATGCGTACCCTCGCTGGCTAACATTTATTCAATTTCATTTAGTTAAAGTTTCATCGAGATTTCGCCGTAATCTAATTGATATTCAAAGTAAATTATACTTGTCTACGAACTCTTTATCGTGATTAACACTCTTAGGTACATAGCCTTCTGCATTGACTCCTATGTAACTTTTGAAACGGTTCGTGTGAATTTCACTAGCGGTATTAACATGTTCTTTTATAACTGTTAGTATAGTGAACGCCTCACGATTCTCGATTACTATCATACGACAGTTGCTTGTATCAGTATCGACCATCTTCAACATTCAATGACCGTCTACTTCTCTGACACGATTGCATTTTCTTTTGCCAAATGTCGCTTGTCGAAAGAAGTTAAAGCAAAGAAAGGGCACTCCAAAATGAAATTTAACCCAGACACATATAACGTATTTTATAGGATACAATTGAAAGAAGATGCGATCAAATAGAAGACGTGGACTAAATACAAGCTAAGAGTTAAATGTGGACTAGTTAAATTATATGGTCGCGTTATGGATTTTATCCTAGTAGAAATATTATGGAACCATGATTCAACAAAATACAATGTCGAGAGATGTAGATAGCAGTTTATACAATGTTATTGTTATCGAATTATCTTATGGAAGATGTAATTTGCCTTATTTCAACACTTTAAAAGTGTTTTTAAGTCTCAAAATTTTCAAACTTTGTTATCCTCGAATAGAGAAATTCCTTTAATTTTCAATCTCCTAATTCCTTAAATCTCCAAATTCTCAATTTTCCGATTTCCAAAATCCCCAAACTTTTAATATCCGAACTCTGCAAATACCCTCGATTCTATTCCTCATCTTTACACGATGCATTACACGGTATCCGCTTATAAACGTTATTCGACCGGACCCTGTATAGTTATAATTTGAGCGAGAAGAAGATAGAAGCAAGATGGCCGTCGGTGAAACGATCCAGGAACCAGGCTGAAGACAAACGAACCGTGCACTGACCCGCTTTCCGCCGCAGACATCCTTGTTTGTTTCATAATATCCATACCAAACGACGGTTAGGGGCCGACGTTGTAACCCAGGAGAGATGCATCTTCGTTGCATTAGTCAACGTGTGTTCCTCTAGCTGGAACATCACCGACACAACGGACTCGCGAGACACGTGGTCCGTTGCGTAATATGGCGGCTGCAACTCTGGCGGTAGAAGAGGAGACGCATTCCTGCGATTCCGTAGGATTGGTCCTTAATGATCGCAGACGCGTTGCTTGTCGCTCTTCGTACGCACCCATTAATGGTACCGGCAGGTACAGTCCCTGGTCACCGAATTAGGACATTTTTTACGTTTTCTGTAAAATTAAAAGCCTTGTTCAAATTGTAATTATATAATTTATTAGATACCTTGATACTACTACTGTACATAACATTATTAACACATGTTAATATCTTGTATTTCCACCCTTTGCTTTGGTCACAGCTTCCGGCGTGCTCTGTATACATCATATGCTTTATATCTTCGTTATTTTCCCAAATATCTTTAATTCTTTTCAACTCAGATAATGTGGTTGAAGAGTTGTAAACTAGTCTTTTGAGTAGGCAGACATTTTCTATGGCATTCAAATTTCACCTCTAGCGCTATACTCGAGCCTAACATAAACGCACGGCCCTTAATCGCTTGTCACCCACACAATTTACTATCACGATAGTAACAAATTGCTGTGTATATAGTTATCGACGTGTTTAGTAATTTTGCATGACCTAAGACAATTTTCTATATGTGACATAATGTTATAGCCATGAAAGTGAAATTTTCGTGGTCCTAATTCGATGACCAGGGATTGTATGTACATTTATGGTACATTTGCAGTAGCGTGTTAATTTGTCCTTAAATGCATCGGGGAAATTTATGGAGCATGATGGTACAAGGTAGAAATTATTGAGGAAGAATTTTGAGATTATTTAGAAGAATTTTGGGATTATTTAGATGTCTGGAAAGAATTTACGGAGAATCAAGAAAGAGTTTAAGAAAAGTTTGGAGAAGAATGTAGAGCAGTCCAGGAAGAAATTTATGGAGAATTTAAGACAAAACCTAAGGAGAATTCACAGAGAATTCAGAAAAAATCTAAGAATTATTTAAGAAAAATTAAAATATTTCTAGTTCTAAAAAGTTTGAAATCTCAGTCACAGGAAAGAGGATATCACTTTCCCTGTCGCACAACTTGCACTCAACATGTGCGTTGATGTTCGAGAGTTCAATCGCGGGCACTTGATGTGCCCATCTCTATTATAGATTATCGCACGGACAAACTTTCACTTGTCAAAAGGCATCTGAAATAATCTACAATCCCATGATCTACAAGATGTAATAGCACTAATGATACTCATTAATAAAAAATATCAAAAACAATCCTGAAGAATCAGGCAGTTATATAATCCTATAAAATGTACCAGCATCCACGATTAACTCTCACGAAAAGTAGTTGATGTATAACAGAAAGTACACAAAGTGAGAAGTGACGATTGTGGAATAAATAAAACTATAAAACTTTCGCATTAAATATTTTACTGTTCTTAAGATAGAAGAATCTGAAAGGGTGGTTTCTTAAAATTTTATAAAGGTGGCGATATAACGAAAATCCGCTGTAACTACTTTGAATCTTTAATCACTCAGCATCACACAAAGGGTAACAAGAAAATAGACTGATGACTAATGAAATGATATTAATCTTACAAGATGCAGAGTACTAGATTAATCTTACTAGATGTAGAGTCCATTGTAATTAAATAAAAATTGTAATTCAAGATATCACTAGCCATTTATTAGTTGCTTGTGTACAAAAGATTTGTTTATGTTTTTACTTCGGATTCACAAGAAGTATAAATCAACGATATTTGCGGTTGTTCTGCATTACGAAATTACAAAGAAAAGAATAACGAACTAGTCAAGGACGCAGTCTTCTTACAACAGTTCAATGAACGAAATATTAACAATATTTTCTAGTTACTTTTTTATGCTATATAAATATTGTGACACAGGGTTGAGAAATAGCAAACCGTGCTGGGTTAAATGAGTGACCATTAACACCTCTACCGTGTCATTTGAACAACTATTAGGTTATGATGTAAAATTTTTGTGGTTCAAGGTCTGAGTAAAAGTATTTCACATTAAACTTATCAGTGCATTTAGAAAATTTCTGAACCGCATTGATAGAATGCCACTTTTAAAGATATGTGGTAAAATGTCCAAATACCTTAACAGACATTGCAGCTTAAAGTATTTCAGAAATCGATTTCTAGAGCCACCAATTATGTTAACAAATGTGAAAATTCAATAAGATATACAATGAAACATAATTTTATGTAAAACTATTTTGAAATTGAACAAATTTTGTCCTTAGATCCTACTCCTACTGCATCCTACCCAAGGAATTACTTTCGTCTTCTCGATGTGGCGTCGAACTTCGATAATGAATCTTGACTTTTGTGGCTAACTGATATTTTTCTGACCCATTCCGATTCAGTTAGTGACTCAGGTTAGGTTAATTCAGTTGGTGAATCAGGTTAGATCAGACCAGAATAATATTCCTACCGCAAGGTACGTGACATATAACACGCATCATTATGATCACAGTATACATTATGTTGGCAGAAGTTAAGGACTCCCTTATTTAATTTCTTTTTCTGTAGGGTGAGTTATATGATATCGTCTGTCATACAGTATGAACCAATGAAAAAGTTCAGCTTTGTTAAGTTTATTGGTTTACTTCTTTACAGAAGAAGTTCAGGTTACGTTACCTATAACTCATATGACGGTACAGTTATCTTTTCGCGCCATTTTTAAAACTCATTTCATCCATTTTACTCTTTTACTATACATTTTAACATTCTTCACACACCCACTAATGAAAAATTCTACATCCACGTTTATGCAGTTATGATACCGCCTGTAAAATTGTCAATTGGCAGAACTATACTTAACCTGTTCCCCGTATGAATAAACATGCCGTGTCAACATGGACACCGAGAAAAACGTATGTTAATTTGTGAAATTGTGAAAGCACTCCTTCAAGATTTTTAATAGCGAGAAGCCATTAGAAGCTATCAATTTTTACCCTTTTGTACGTTGTGCGACAACCCACAGTGTGTTGAAACACACAGGGTGTCCCATGAGGACAATTCGTCCTCGAGGGTTAAACGCTTATACTGTTGTTATATGGTAAACTATTGACGCAATCGATGTTTTGCAATGATTGTAAGAATTGCAGAAACGCATTCTGGAAAAGACGGTAATAACTGACAAACGATCGGCCGCAAGGACACCGAACTTCTTAACTCGGCTGTGTGTTTTACCCGGCTAAATACTGTGACAAGGCCGCCACTACGTCACGGGTTATTGCTCTGGCGAAAAACCGTCTTACATAAATCATAAAATCGATCTCGCAGACTATCGATTATGCGGGACGATTCTTCCAGTAACCGGTCGCGCAATCGCTTTGCGAAACTGATTTAGATCCATGAACGATTCACTTGTTCCGCGCCATTGGCGTAATTAAAATGAATACTTCGAACGAAATGAAGTATGCGATGCAATCGACTATAAAATATGTAATAATGGTCTTATTGGATAACAAGTAGATAACTAGTATGTTAGAAGTGAGATGTGAGATATTAATTTATCTGAAATAGACGTGTTTGGTGAAGTTAGGAGACCTAGCAGAGGTGATTAATGTTAAAGACATGATTAATGTTAAATGTCACACTATTTTTAGTGATATGGAACGTTTAGAGAATTGATTAAAGAAGTGGTGAATATTTGGAGATGTTACTAATATTTCTACGAGGAAGTTTGCAGCCATTGGCAATATATGCAGAGATTCTTTTACGTATACTGTTTGAATGTTCACATTTTAACACTTGCAAGTTTCCAATTTATTTAAATGTTTAATTCAAAAGTTTCTAATGTATCTAAATATTTAATTTAAAAGTTTCTAATTTATATAAATGCTTAATTTGTTTACAGAAACATACATTTCTTGTTACGTTAAAAAATCTCATTATATTGCATAAAAAAGTATGTATTAAATTTATTATATAATTGAATTAATTTTTGTGAAACTATTAAAAATTACTAAAAACTAGAATACTTCAAATAACTTAATGAACTAATTATTCAAAATAGAATACAAATATAATATTTTTTAATATTTTTCAAAATTCATCAAAGCTTGAAATTTTTAAGTTGAAAATTGTATCGCAAAAATGAGTAAAAACAGTTTTAAAACCAATTTAAGAAGACGTTGAAAACTCGATGATAATTTAATTACTTGGATAATAGAAAAATCCGGAATGCACGTATAAATTTTCTTGTGATTGAATGCAGTACTCCGCTGAATAATTGCACACCGTAAATCATTTAGATAACGCAAATTCTCTAGCATTATTTCCACGAATAATTGCGGCTTTGATTATGATCAATTACTTACTATATCGATGTCTGTTCAGTATCCATTACGTATTGCTTTATTCAAATTTTCCTGTAATTACTATAATGGATTAATTGAATTAATCTTTACTTAACAACTTTGCATACAATGTGTTTGCTGACTTTAAACGAGTACGATGGCGAATTGATAAGGGGATTAATATGAATTATACAATGTACTGATTAAATATGTAACATTATAATCAATCAAATAATTTTATTATTAATCAATGAATTAAATAAATATCTTTATTATTATTAATAAATTATTTGGATTTCACAAAAGTTTACTACCCAGATTTTCTTTTATTAAATAACGAAAGTAATTAAATTAATGCATATTTAATATTTGGGACGGTCATAATTAATAATTTGGACTGTTCTAAATATCGTTTAATTATTGTTCCATATAAATATTTACAGATTTAATAAATTTGTCCTAAGTAAAATATTTTCACCCCACAAAATATTACTGTCTTGATTTTCTTTTATTTAATAAGGAAAATAATTAAATTAATTGTTATTTGATATTCGTAATAATAGTAATTATTAACAAGATTGCCATGAATATTTCATGAATTTTAGAATTTTAGAATTTGAGAATTTGAGAATTTGAGAATTTTGGGAATTCGGGAAATTAGGAAATTAGACAATTAGACAATTAGATAATTAGGAATTTGGAAATTTGGGAATTTGGGTAATTAGAACTTGGAAGATTGGAAATTTGGGAGATTGGGAACTTGGACGATTGGAAATTTGGGAGATTAGGAACTTGGGAAATTGGGAATTTGGGAGATTGGGAACTTGGGAGATTGGGAACTTGGAAGATTGGAAATTTGGGAGATTGGGAACTTGGACGATTGGAAATTTGGGAGATTAGGAACTTGGGAAATTGGGAATTTGGGAGATTGGGAACTTGGGAGATTGGGAACTTGGAAGATTGGAAATTTGGGAGATTGGGAACTTGGACGATTGGAAATTTGGGAGATTAGGAACTTGGGAAATTGGGAACTTGGGAGATTGGGAACTTGGGAGATTGGGAACTTGGGAAATTAGGAACTTGGTAGATTGGGAACTTGGGAGATTGGGAACTTGGGAGATTGGGAACTTGGACGATTGGAAATTTGGGAGATTGGGAACTTGGACGATTGGAAATTTGGGAGATTAGGAACTTGGGAAATTGGGAATTTGGGAGATTGGGAACTTGGGAGATTGAGAGATTGGGAACTTGGAAGATTGGGAATTTTTAAATTTGAAAATTTGGTAATTTAGAAATTTGAAAATTTAGGAATTTGCATATTTGCCTATTTGAGAAACAAAAGAAAGTTAAATCTAACCACTTTCAAAATAAACGGTCCATATTACGAATAAGTGAAATATATTGAATATTATGTTTCATAAAATGTTAAATTACTTGTAAACTATACACATATTGTAAAATAATAATCATTTCTTGCAAGTTCCACAAATTCTAATCGCGCAATTCCCTCTTCAAGCTATTCCTAAATTAATCTTCTATTAATAAAAGTACTTCTTCAATATAATACACCACCTAATTTACTGAATGAATAATAAATGAACAGCGACATTTGATTTTTATTTAAACATAAGAAAACCGATATGAAAAGAGTATCCAAGGAATCCATCGAGAAAGTTGAGAGAGAGTCGAATTCGAGTGGACTTTCATGGGTTTTGAGAGTGAATTTTTATTGAATATGCAACATCAAATTTTGTAGCTCTTCAGAGACAACTTTCGAAAATGTATGGATGTTGCTTACTAATGTATGTAAATCTTATCGTTTCTGATTCGGGAGATGCAGCGAGACAGCCCTAAGATATTCATCAACGTCACTTCAGGAGATTTTACATTTTTGGTTTCGTTTTGTTTTTACTGCATACGGGAAACTTACGGTCCCATACTTTATAAGAAAAATATATCATCGCTATCTTCTTGCTTTTTCTCTTCTTCGCGAATTGTGATTGATAAAAAATTGAAACAGGATATAAAAATGGCGAGTCTCTTAACTTAACTTGTATTCTATTTTGAATCGGATATTAATGAAATTTATTCGAGACCAGGTAGACACGAAATGAAAAATGTTACTTTTATTTTTTACATCACATGCTGTTCAGACAAAGAATTTTAGAAATATGAAGCTATTAAAGATTTAATGGGATGCTTCAAGTGAAGAGCGAGAGTAATAAATTGTTCTACGCAAATTTTTGATTAAAATACGTTTTTTAAAAAATTCAGAGATGATTTATGAAGAAATAATATTCGAAGGCAAACATAATTCTTTATTGCTACACAACAGATTATAGTAGCTTATCGTAGTGGCATTGGTTAAACTAAATATTCAGTCACACCTATAACTCATAAATCACCTCAGATTTTTACACGATATTAAAGATCGACCAAGCGACATTTGACAAAAGAAGATACAATTCTGTCAGAGAAGTAGACGGTCATCGGGTGCTAAAGATGGTCGACACTGACACAAGCAACTGTCGTATGATAGTAATCGAGAATCGTGAGGCGTTCGCTATACTAACAGTTATAAAGGAACACGTTAATATCGCTAGTGATATTCACACGGACCGTTTCAAAAGTTACATAGGAGTCAATACAGAAGACTATGTACCTAAGAGTGTTAATCACGATAAAGAGTTCGTAGACAAGTATAATTTACTTTGAATTTCAATTAGATTGCGGCGAAATCTCGATGAAATTTTAATTAAATGAAATTGAATAAATGTTAGCCAGCGAGGGTACGCATACTCAAAAAATGGAATCATGGTACTCTGCAAAAGACTGGCTCAGAGGAAGAGGTCGTTTTCGCAACATTGAATTAACGCTTCGAATGTGCGAATTTTTATGGCAACAATTTTTCGCCGAAATGACATTGACCCATTGGCATTTTTAATGGACGCGAACCAAGGACACTATGTGCTTTACTAATTGTAAGTAATGAAATTCCCTAGTTATTAAGCTTATGTTCTTTAAAACTACCAAACTTTAATATGTGACTTTTGGACCAATAGATTTCAACACTCTGGATTGTCATATTTCTTCTATATTTATTGAATACTATAAAGGCAATAATATTAGAGAATGGTATAATAGGAGATTATACAAAAAACGATTAAAAATGGAACCCCAAAACGTTTAACCCACCTTCATACGTCCCCGCCATAATCCGAATGATGAACGATTGCATATTTCTGTTGAAAACCATATAAATCTGTGTCTGAACAAACTAATACTATTTTCCTATCGTTTTTGTGGCGTATGCAAAATACTTTCAGTATGCAGGTCCAGTAGTGAAGTTCTCAGAATAATGTACAAATTTATGATAATTTCTTTAATGAATTATGTACAACATGGTTTGTGGAACCTTTCGCTTCAGTTAATATACGAGGTATTACTACAAAAATTCTCCGGATTTGAATATTATATACAAACTGATCGCATCACGAGACTTATACTATTAAGTGTTTTATGATGTATCTTACAAACCAGTTTGTCAAATGACATTTCTCTGGATGCTCGTATTTCTGAGTTTGGG